TTGAAGAATATTCTGCAAGGGTATTTCAACTTCGGTTCCGCCCGAAGTTAGCTTTCCTTTCTTGTTTTTAGTAATATAGGCATAGAAATCAAAATTTAGTCGAATTGTAATAACTGCAAGGGTATATAAACTTCGGCTTGCCAAAATTTGCTTCCTTTCTTGTTTTAAAATGTTTTTAATAATGACCGAGAGCCAATAAAACCATAATATTACCGAAAGCATTTATGCTTGTCTAATTCAACTAATTAATAGCAGTAGAGTGCTAGCTGTCATTTTTTAATGTTTTCCATCGCCAGATATGCATTGACTTAATCTTTGTTTAATAGCACTTAATATAGGTTTAGAAGACTAAAGTCCACAAATGGTTTCAAATCGATAATAAATAATGTCAGTGAGAATAATAAAAACATGCCAAATAAAAGCAATTACAACTGGCAAACTGAAGACCTCTTCCAACCCCATTTGTTAGCTCTTAGTTTTCACTAAAAGTTGTTTAAATAAATATAAACAAGAAAGGAAAGCTAACTTCGGGCGGAGCCGAAGTTGATATACCCTTGCAGAATACTCTGTAAATTATATTCTTACTACTCATCAAAAATCCCAACTTCCTAACTTTAAAAACACCAAAGTTATGGCATTTCCGATCGTTCAGTTATATGGCAGCTATAAGATATAATCGGCCGATTCTCATGAAATTCGGTAGGTCAGATTGATTGGCCAAAAATAAAACCTATAGAAAATCTCAACTTCCTAACTTTACAAACACCAAAGTTATGGCATTTCCGATCGTTCAGTTATATGACAGCTATAGGATATAGTCGTCCGATCCCGGCCGTTCCGACTTATATACTGCGTGCAAAGGAAAGAAGGGTGTGTGCAAAGTTTCAATTCGATAGCTTTAAAACTGAGAGACTAGTTCGCGTAGAAACAGACAGACGGACAGACAGACGGACAGACGGACAGACGGACAGACGGACGGACGGACAGACGGACAGACGGACAGACGGACATGGCTATATCAACTCAGGAGGTGATCCTGATCAAGAATATATATACTTTATAGGGTCGGAGATGTCTCCTTCACTGCGTTGCACACTTTTGACCAAAATTATAATACCCTCTGCAAGGGTATAAAAATGAAATCCGGAGAATTATAGAGTTTTTGGTCAGCAGCTCGCCCATCTTATCGGAATGTCCAGCGTGGCCATTGGCATTTCAGGAGCAGATATCGATCCTTGGGCCGCCCACTCCCCCACTTTTCAATGGGCCAAGAGGGGGGGTGGAAAATCAGGGACGTGGGTGGAAAGTCCATCCCTGGTTAGCTGGCGTTTTCCTCGGACGCTTTGTTTGCTCGCGTCTGCCGGCAAATTTATGCGGTCCAGGCTAATCCTCGTGGGGATTTGAGCTTAAAACGTTTTATTGTTGCCCCACGTAGGCGCAGACAGGGGGCGTGGTCGTCGGCGGGGGCGTGGCACACAAGGCTGTCGACTGCAGATTTCCCAGTTGCCTTGTAAATTTATCGCATTAAAAAAAGTGTGAATTTTCAACAACGTTGTTGGCGGCCCTCTCCTTTGTCTCCAACATCCCCCCTCCCCGCCTTTTAATTTCTTTCTGCCCCTCTTCAGCCGCCTTTCAGTCCGCCCACTTCAGTCCGCCCACTTCACCTTGCAGTCGCCGCTTGACACTGTCATTATGTAAATTAAATTGTGGCGAATTATTGTTTTTATTCTTACTTTCGGCTGGCCCATCCTTGGCTTGAGTTCGTTTTTGTTTTCCCCCATCATTGCCGTAATTTATGTATATGTTTATTTATTTTCCTCCACTTTCATCTGCTGGCTGTCGCCGCTTTCGTTGTTCGAGTGTATAATTCATAATTTGGGGTTTTCTTCCTGTTGCCGCCTCTCTCATATCGCTGACAAAGCAATAAAAGTTTTCCCAGCAAGTTAACAAATCACCGGGGAGGCTGGGGAAGGGGCGTGGCACCGCCCCGGTGGGCGGAGGTGGAAATCGGAGGAGACTTTGTCAGGGTAGCCATTAAACTTGGCCAATATCTGTTGTTCTTATGCCCAATGTATTTTTACAAATTTGGAATTTCTTCAATAGCTTTTGTATAAGTCTAGAAAACATTAATATTTTGTGTCCGAAGGACTCTTTTACATTTTGTAATGTATATCTTTTAACAAAATTGTGAATTTAATTTTAAGCAAATATACTTTGCAATTATATAATACTACACAGTCTGAATAACTTTATGTGCTGGATACACAAAATAACAAATTTTATTTTTGGTAAGAAAATCCCCTCTCACCTTGCCAATCGTAGAAGTGGCTCTGCAATCATAATCCCTCTTAGTGTGTGAGTACACAGTCCCTAAATAAGACATAACTTCCTGCCAGTCATTCCTTATACTGTCATATTTACCGACTTAGTTATGGAATCGACTTAGCGCCAGGACTCGGTTCAAGCTGATGGAAACTGCCATCGATCCATTTCAATTAGCAGCAACAGTTTAAGTAAACCCCCTCCCCGCCGGCGGCTTAGTGTCTACTGCCAACTGGCATCGATTGCGTCTTCGCTTCGGACTCGCCTGTTAATTAAGGCCCAGAGTAATAGACACACATGCAGATGTTTGTCCAGGCGAAGGGGGAGTGGCACCCACACGGAGGAAAACTTCAGCCTGATCCTTTAACTTGGCTGACTACCAAAGTATCTGCCTCGGGAATATCTTCTTAAGGCTACTATGTATGCATAAAATTTCTTTCTCGTTAATTACGCTAGGTTAAGCTCAGAAGGCACTGAACAGATTCCATTGAATAAAATATAATTTAAAAAAAAAAAAAGGGAATATCTTTGAAGGAACGGAAATAATAACTAAAAGATTGAAATCAGCGACAGATATGAGTCCGAAATTATATTTCCCATCTGTTTAATTTGAAATGTTGACTTTACGATTATAAAATTAACAATTTCGAACGCTTTATGACAACCAAATAATCATTAATATGTGAAGTACCTATTATTGAAGCCATAAATATCAATAACAATGAAAAATGTATATATTTAATTTAATGTAATTATTTTTGGGTACTTTGAATCGATTCAAGCACTTCCTTTTTAATTTACGACAGTACAATAATAATAATAATAATAATAATCCATTTACTGACACTGCAATATATTTCTCTTTGTGATCATAGAATTTTGAAATTTAAAGCGTTACGCCAACCAAGAAGTGAAAGAAAAACCCAAAAGGAAACTGAAATCAAAACGGTAAACAATAAAATGCGGATTTAATTTAATTTTATTTTTGGGTCCCCTGCCGAGTGGCGAAGGGGGGCGGGGGAAATAACATTAACAATAAACGACTTTTGATGGGCCAAAGAAACACTTGTCTGGAGCGGGGGCGGTGGCGGGGGCGTGGCACATCAGAAAAGCTGACCTCTCGTGAAGGAAATGCGTTTCGGCCAGGATTCGGCACGTGATTGATGTGCGCCTATTGTGGCATCCATAATGGGCCAGCGAAAGATGTTCGACAGATTTTCTGCTACCCCATGCTAGGTGAAACACTTCGGGTATATCGGGCTCAATACAGCCACCGAAAATATCAAAATTTATTTGTTTTTAAGCAGGGTGTCCGCAAGCCATGTCCCGGAATTAAACACATAAATCTTAGGACTGACAACGCACAGAAAAAAGCAAAGACAGAGTCAACTCTGAATCCACAATGGGCTAGAAAACTAGAAAAAGAGGGTGTCAAAAAGTCAGAAAAAGCCAGAAAAAGCGGGCATTAGAGGGCCACAAGGAGAAGGACTTTCCATTGTCTCGCTTTGTTTGTTTTCTCGGCTCGTGCTTTGCCATCGCCTGGCCACACCACAAACAGGACATCAAGGACACTTAAGGACATGTCCCAGACACTTGGACAACCTGGCCAAGCAAATCATAAAAATCAAAGGGGGCAAACAAACAGCACAAAAAATGCCAAGAAATAACGAAGAAGTCGAAAGAATTAACAACGCGTCAAATCAGGGCAAGCTTAGAACAGTTTAATGCCAGCCCCCCTTTTATGATGGACTTTTATTGCCTGCGTTTATGTTTTCCATCCATTTCCCCCGCTTTCCCATGTTTTCCGTCGGGACATGAAATTATTTTGCATGTCGCGCGCCATAAAAACTCAACGGCTAGCAAATTTGGGATAAACCTTCCAGTCGCCCGTCGTAATGTCCGGGCTTAAAGGCGTGGGGAAAAGCTATAAGTTTTCCCATAAAAAGAAAAGCCAAGCCAGAGCCATCTGTAACCGAAATGAGGCGACTTGCCGGCAAAGTTCCGATATTTGGTTCTAGGGTGGAGGCGATCTTTTGGCCAAGCAATTTAATTCAAGAGGGTATGCATTTTCTTTTTGGCAGAATTGCCAAGATTTTTTGAATATTTTATAAAGTCGCTTAAAGATTTTAATCTGTCTATAAACAGCAACCCATTATTTTGTTTTAAAAGAAAAGACAACTTCATTAAGTTAGTTTGCTGCTGTTAGACTGATATCAAAAACTTTTTAAGATTGTTTTTTAAGTGTAAAGATTTTTAGATAACATGTTGACTATTCAACTATTTTAGCTTCCGACGTAAGCAAGAATAATCCCGTTTTGTCTATGGCATAATACTTAACTATTTATTTTTAATTGACAGTTTTTCTGTTTAAATAAACAAAATCCCATTTAATGATTATATACTGTGTTTCGCTACTTTCAAAAAAAAAATATGACAGATTACAAAGAAAACTGACTTCTAAAGTTCGTTTTTAAACCTTTTAATAACTAAAACATACCTCTTTAAACAAAATTAGTAAAAATTTAAAAGAAGCATTTTATTTTCAAAAAGATTTCAACATTATTTTTGCATGAAAATGTTTTAATAGTTTTCTCTGTTCAGCAACAGCTAATACCTTCTCCACATTAGTTCCCATCAGCTAAAGTCTCTAAATAACGTACCACATGGCGGATACTTACTCTTGATCATGGTTGTGCTTGTAGGAGTCGCGGTAGCGCGTGCGCAGATTGCGCCGGATGTCGCTACTGTCGTTGACGTGGTGGTTGTGCGAAAGTGCAGCTGGCAGGAGCAGGGCCATTTCTGAAAGAAAGCAAAGAGGAAAATGCAGCGTTATTTTTGGGAATTCTTGAGTCATTCGCGGGAAATCAATTTCCACGACTGAAATCCCCTTGTGTGCGTTTCAGAAGGCACGCATTGCCGCCATAATTCAATCGCTACTCACACCCCCAAATACATACACTCTGCGAAAGCGGAAGTACTATGTATGCGTGCCGGAGCGCCTGGGGCAGCACTACGTTTTCCGTATCCGTCTCCGTCTCCGTCGCCACATTGTTGTTTGCCCTGTCAGTTGCCCTTTTCCATTTCCCGCCTTTTTTCCCGCGCGGAATCAAAACATGCCATTAGCAGGCGACCAAATAAAAAAGGCAAACAAACAGCATGTGCTGGATCCACCCACCCCTCCCCTTGCCATTCAACATCATCCAGCCGCAGATTGCATAGAAATGCGAACCGTTCCCGTTCCCCACCCACAATCCTCCTCCTGTCACGAAGCCAGCGACAACACGTGAGGCACCGCCACCGCCAACACCAAAGCCAACACCAACACCTTGGATGAACCGACGTGCCGCGGGTGCAAAAGCGCGCCACATGCCTCACACAGTCGAAAAAATCGGGAGTCCGAAAGGCATTAAGATTTAGAACTTTCCCAAGCTAGATTTTCTTTATTCCTTGCTGATAGACCCATTAATAGATGGGTCTTTTGGTATTCCAACTTCTCGAATTTGGGCCATTTATATTTATCATTTAAGTTGAGTGCTTTAGAGGATATGAATACTTCTTAAATAAATTAAATTTAATTATCAGAAGTGAACTCGAATTAGTATTAGAATGCTAATTTAGTTTCTGAGATTATAAAATCTACGGTTAGAATTTAATTTTTCCAAAAGTAAGTGTGTTTTAAAGAAATTTTCAATGATATGGTTTATAATTGCGGTTGGCTAGAAAAGTTAAAAAAAAGTTAGCTTTACTTTGGCCAAAAGAACTCGCGTTTGTTTCGTTGAATTCACTTATCAATAACTATGTGTCTTTAGCGAATCAATAATTGACAGATATGAAGCCCAAAGGGGCTATTAATTCATAACAATATTTATTCAAAAATATAAGACATTACCCATTTAAATATCAATTGTTTTTAAAGCCAAATACATCAAGTTACATTTGCGTTCTGTATGGCCCTTGATATAATCCTCTTATGATTTTCGCTCTGTGTTTTGCTCTTATGCTCTCCTTTGATTCGCTACTGTGTTTACCCGATATAATGTACGTGTGTGATTCGTTTGCTGTTCGCTGTTTGCTGTTTGCGCAGCGACTCGCGAACACTCAAAGGTCTTCACCGGAATCGAGGAAGGGGTGCTGGAGCTCCTGGGCGATGGTGATGTGGTGATGGCGGAGAATCCATTGCTTTGGCTGTCAGTGGCGTATCGCATCGGGTGAGGAGGGGGCGAGTGCTCATTCAGTTCAGTTTCAGTCGTTTGTAGTCGATATTAGGAGTCGGTAAATCCTCTATTCTAAATTATTGTAGTCGTATCGGCAAATGCCCAGATAAATCGCCCTCTGGATCTTATTGACACACTAGCAACCACCGACGGTCCACCATTGATTAGCGAGCTTGATTTCCGAGGTCCAGCTTGATTTCCGCGGAACATTTCAACCAGAAGGATACGCGGAATAACAAGGGGGAGTGGGAGGAATCATGTCGAGAGATCTGCCCTACGTCCAGTTCGGAGATCGCGGCGACGGCCTTCAGATGCACGGAAATGGGAATGGTGACGGAGGTGCCAATGGGAACGGAAATGGACACATCCATTCGCTGGAGAGACGCCACCGGTTCCCGGATCGAGTGAGAGAGCAGGAGCGAAGCCGCGAGCGCAGCCGAGAGCGGAGTCCGGAGAGGATCAGGCTTCCGGACGGAGACGAGCACTCCGAACGCCTGGCGGCCGCGGCCAAGAATGCCATTCCGGCAGTCCTTCGACTTGTCAAGGAACTCCAGGTATGGATTAAACACTACTACAAAAATATTTGATAAGTATGTCAGTGTATTCGAGCATTTTCACTTGACCAAATATCGATTCGATTGACGAAATTCAATTGTCTTTTAAATACGCCATTAAAAAACATTGTTTTTGGTTAATTGAAAATATCACTTTAAAATTAATGAAAAACTTTGCGTTTTATAAAAGGTATCCTTAAGGTACATGCATATTTACTGAATAGTGGAATATATGACCAAATCAGAGGATATTATCGAAACCTCGAATTTTATGTGACTTTGCATTTTTACTTAGACGTAACAGTTGGCTATTTTGATCCTTAAAAATCTTACCATTATAATTAAATTATTTAAAATTATTAAATTATTATTTACAATTTTGTATTTATATTTTAATAGGAAGGACTTTAAGCTACACGATACACAAATAAATAAAGAATCCAACGCGCTATTTATTTTTTTAATTTTGAAACAAATAGTTTAAAGTATTAATCTTTTTGACGTTAAAATATAATGTCTACTTGGATAATGTGTGTGTAAAATATATCGAAAATGTCTGAACATGTGAAGGATATGTTTAATCAGAATGGTTTTCTAACCACTCGGCACGTATACGTAATATCATACAATCCGATATCTGTACTGCAGATTCTTGATAAATGTATTTAGTTTTATAGTTCAGTCATTTCAACCTATTGATATTATCTTCACCGCACTCCCAGGTAATGGAGACCGATCCGCCGGAGAACACTTGGGCGCGGCCCAAGTCGCTGAGCAACCTGCTCAAGTGGCGGGCCAAGATCCGCGGACCCGAGGGCAGTCCCTACGAGGGCGGGATCTTCGAGCTGGCCCTCCGCTTCCCGGAGGCCTATCCGTTCGAGGCGCCCATCGTGCGCTTCACCACCCCCCTCTACCACTGCAACGTGAACGGACTGGGCTACATCTGCGTGGACGTCCTGGACGAGAAGCTCTGCTGGTCGCCGGGCCTCACGGTGGACAAGCTGCTGCTGTCGCTGTCGGCGCTCCTCAACGACGCCGATCCGCTGACCGCCTTCAACGCCGAGGCCGCCGGACTGTTCCTGCAGGACCGCGAGCGGTACGACCGGATCGCCCGCTCCTGGACCGAGCGGCATGCCATGGACGTGCCGTGGGATTGAGATCCGGCGTCCGGTGGCCTGGAGCCGGAACAGCTTTGGACAAGGTTGCGATTGTGATGCAGATAGCATTTTGGAATAAACATGATGGTGGTGTCCTCTGTTCAAATTCGCCCGCCGAGGGTCTCTTCTTCCAGGGCTGGTCCATATGCGTTGCATAATTTTAGGCGCCGCCGCAACTTATGCAAATTTAACGAGCCAAGTGCTAAGCGCTGTGGGGGGGGGTCTATGGTTGCCCCACACTCACACCCATTTGCATAATCAAATGCCATATTGTTGAACCCCCAGCCAAGGTCCTTCCGCTCAGCCTTCGCCTTGGGCATATTCACTTGAGGTGAAACTTTGACTTCCTGCGTTAAACTGGAAAACTTGAGGGATTTTGCATAAGCCGAGAATTTCTAGGCTGAACACCAGATGCTGCTGCATTTGATCGGATCAATAGTTATTTTTAGTTAAGCCCAAATCTGTTTCGTTCGATTTCTGATGCACAAATGTATACAAAGTGATTTGTAGCTTTTGAAAACCATCATTGCCGAATGTGCAAGTATTGATGCAGGAGCTTACTAGTAGGCCAAAGTGTACCAGTTGGGAAATAAAAATACAAGAAACAGGCTTAAATAAATTAGAAATAATGTTTGCAATTTTGGAAGTTCCTTGGGGAACAAATTTAAGTAAACTGAAAAGCATTTAATGAAATTGGTAAAGCGATACCATCTCCATCCAAGATGGATATGTATTTAAGGACATGCATTCTTCTGGTAAAGTAAGTTTCTACGGCACTTTTTAAGCAGGGATCTTCCGCAGAGTATCATCTTGGCGTTAAAATCAATTGTTCCTTATGGAAATTTCGTATAAGTACTCATTTTCGATTAAATAGTAGGGAATATACAAACACACAATAACAACCTTTGTCGAAAATTTGAAAATTTCTGTTCTATACGCAAGTGTCTTATGGAAAAATATGTTGTACATTTTACTTTTCACGGCATCTAAATTATGCGGCCTTGTCTAAACAGACTTTAAGTCAAGTGTCAACAGAAAAACAATTTCATATTAAAATCCATTTCTATAAAATATGTAAGAGTTTGCTGATGTATTGTTGGCAACATATTAATACCGCACTCGGTTAAAAATTAGAACAAAACAATTCGATACTGTATATAAATTCAATGGAAATCTCCGCATGGCACCAAATAGATGGGTCGAAGTGGGTACTTCTTCATGCATTTATGAAAAGGAAAGGGTATTTTGGGGTCTGCGCCTGATTAGCTTCCGCCCAACACTTCATCGTTCATCGCCGACGATTACCAAGTAGTCGAGGTGACATCCACACTCACAGCCGCAAGTTAATTGGAATTTAGCACATGGCAACTGTGTGTGTGTGAGCGGGCGTGTGTGTGTGTGTGGGTGGGTGTTAAGCAATTATTTTTATAACGTTAATGAGCACGGCGCATTATTTTGGATGGGAATGGGGGGGGGGCCTCGAATTTCGTGGCTTTCGCTTTTGGGGTGCAGAAGGCCACCGCAAAGGCCAAAAGTACGTGCACGTGTGGCAAATGTCGCACAACAAAACCGGAAAAAAACCGAAAAACGCAGAAAAAATCCGAGCAGCCAACCGAAAAGTCCCGAAAATTGTGTGCAACTTGAGCTTGGGTTTGTGAATTATGTAGATAGCAATTACCGCAGAGTTTTTTTCTTCAAAGGGGGACTGATCTTGCATATTTTATGGTTTCACGGAAGAGGACTGCTTTCTTCCATCACCATTTCTTGGCTCTTGTTTTACCTGTCTTTACCTTTCACCTGTTTGTCTTCTGGCCACGCCCCCCACGCCCTTGCTTACCTTAATTATTGCCAATGTGCGTGTATCCTCCCTCCATTCACCACACACACACAAACACACACACACGGAGCAGCTTGTTTGTTAGCAATTAAGTTGGAATTAGAAAATTTTTAATAGCATACTTAGGGGCGCACCGCACTGACAAATTCCACTTCCGTTTCCTTTGAGCCGGCTACAAATTGAATTTGACTTGACTAGAGTTACACAAAGGTATGTGAATATGAAGTGGAACTGCTCACAGGAAGTTACGCCAGAAACTGAACGTTCACTTTGGCAAGGTAATCACAGAAAGTTAAGCTTTAAATAAAAATTACTTCAAAATGAAGATGTTTTTCTTAAATATATTTTCAGATTTGAATTTGTGCAATTATTTAAAATGGGATTAAATAGTTAATACCATATTTAGTCCCATTTTTACATTAATCAAATAGATGTATGTAAGATCAACTTTATAGAACATCCATCGAAATTCAAGCTAAAAGTATTTTCAAGTAACCGTATCAGATATCGATAATTGTGGAATTTCTTGAGCCTGCAAAAAACAAAGTCCCACAAGAGTTCGAAATGCCTGCAAAGGTAACGAAACCTTTGATTTTTATGTGTTTAAAACGACGCTTTAAGTGCCCTGTAATTGCAAATAGAAACACAAGACCATTCCACGTCTTTATCCGCATCCGTATTTGTTTCTCTTTCGCAAGTCCTGCGGCAGTTGTCTGTCGGCTATTTGCACCACAAACACACCCTCCCCTTCCGCCCACCGCCCACACACACGACGGCGGGGGCGTGGCCGGCGGGGGAGAGGGAAGTGCTAAAAACAATAAACAGCTTAAGCGCATTATGAGCGTTAAACACACACATTCACCCACGGACACGCCCACAGCCGGTCAGACACACACGAAGCCAAGCAAACGCCTTAATTAACATTTCCTCGCAGGATCCCAAAAGCCCAGGACACCGCAAATGTATCTGTGTGCAAGGATATACATAATTGCAGACCAATTATGAAACAGGTGGAAATGTAATGGCAGGGGTTATCCTGTCGACTCCGTTTTTGATTTCGCATTTAACAAATTCCTGCAATGACAATTTGCCTTTAATTTGTATGGATTTTAACTACACATTTTTGAAATCCCTCACAAACACCATATTGTTCGAGCAAATTGAGATATGCATTGGGAATTCATTTTTCACCCCTTTTCAAATCAGAAAAAAAAAACCAACGGCATTTAATTTTCCCACCGATATTATTATAAAGTTATTTTTAATAATAATCTTTTCATTTGAAACAAAATATAATCGGCTACTAATACTAGTTACAATGCTATGGTCCGCGGTACTGCGATTCCACACAAACTTTTATCAAATTTCTTCAATTAATTTCAAATCCACGTGCGCACTGATTATAATTGTAATTAAATATGTAAAAGCGATTTAGCTGTAAAACAAAATCAAATTTAATGAACAGCTAAATTTGCTAAAATTGTTACCCGAAAATTCGGTGGGAAAGTTAGCCTCTTCCGCTTCAATGTGCCAATCTAAAGTGCTGATAATAATGTTGGCATTAGGTTTTGTTTTTATTTCCCATTTAAAATTTCAGCAAAATATTATACACACATTATACATTTTGGGGGAATAAGCTGTGGCAGCAGAACCAGTAACATATATTGCGCTAATCAAATCCCTTCAGACTGTTGGTTATGTAAATATTAATAATTGATTATAATCATAATAATGTAAATGTACAAATAAGGGCTACTGTTGGTCAAAATCAGCACTCAAATGTAAATTTTGAACCAGTGAGTAATATATGGACATGGGTACTTGTTTATACTTTCAATCGTTATTCCATTTTTAAATTGTATATTTAACTAATACAAATATAAATTATTTTATTGATTCTTAATTTTAAATCTATTAGATAAGCTCGAATGTGGCAATAGAAAAATATCGAAAGAAGAAAACTTTATTTTCTCGGTATATGGCCTAAGAAGAGCGAATGCAAATTGGCATAATTTTCCGCCTTCTCCTAGACTTTCCACTTTCCCTCAGTTGAATGTCTTCCAGGTGTCCGACGGGCCAACTTCAAAGTGGGTGGGAAAGTGGTCTGCCCAGTGTCCAACAATGTTGCCTTTCGCTCCAATTAATAATAACTTTTTCCCCCGTTACTTGCACCAATCGGGGGCATTCATCTATGCAGTTGGCAGATCCATTCTACTGGCTCTGCATGCTGCTAAATAATATTTTAATGGCAGCAATCAAAGTTTTAATTAAACGCTTAAAGAGTTGTGCGGTGCACACATGTGCCGAGCACAAAAAATTGGCAACCGGAAGGCAAAACTAACTCCAAGCCGGAGTGGGTGGCGAAGTGGGTGGCAATGTGGGTGGCAAAGTGGGTGGCAAAGTGGGCGCATGGGAGGGCACGTGCAAGGCTAATGGAGCGCAGGCGACCCAAAACATAAACAAAAACTTTTGCAGCGATATTTTAATAGTTTTCCCCTTCCCAACCCTTGCCACTCCCACTCCCACTCCCACCCCCCGCCTTCCCCCCTCGTCAGTGCTTTTAAGCCGGCGGTGACACTTAGCCAAATATAATATGGCTTTTATGTCAGCCACTTGCAGAAAATTGCTTTGGATGGAGAGGCGGGGAGGTTAGCTCTTTGACATTTTTTGCTGCCGCCAGTTTTTCCACCCACTCCCCACTCCCCCCTCCCCCCTCCCCCTCACCGATTCCCGATTTCCACGTCCTTGCTCCTGCAAAAGCTTCTTCTGCTTTCTTTCACGTACTCTGGCTTTCTTGTTTGGAGTTTGGCAGATCCGTTTTTGCTTTGGCTTTGGCTTTGGCAGGGCGGAAGCGAATGCACTGAGAAAAATAATTCCCCTACACAAATCCCTAAGGGGTAAATCAAAAAACTACTCTTTTTAATTACAAGCTACATTTATTTTTAGTTAAGATATACCTTATAATTTTATTTATTATCATTGCTACATGATTGGCCATTTCTACATGAACTTGCATATATAAATAACAAAGGTTCTTGTACAAAATTAGAAATATTAAAACTTGAGGTCTTTGATTTAAGGCATATGCGATTTTATATTACCTTAAATGTCGGCTTATTAACGAAATTGTTGGATTTTAAAAATTTGCTTTATAACTAATACATTTTTGCAGTTTATTATACATATTCCCAAAATGAGTTTAGTTAAGAAGACACAACATTTGGTTATTAAATTATATATGTATTTCTATTTGACTTAAAACAAACAAAGTTTATTGGCAACATGCAATGCGGATAAGTGCATAACTGAATGTTATCAGTTGCTCAACTCCGATGTTTGGAATATTGGAGAATAAAAATTGATTTTGAAAATTGAAAATATTTGAATGGGGAAGTATGTACGAAATCGAGTTGGCTGCACGGAACTGATATCCATTGTGTTTGTTTTCCGTGTGCATGTGCGTGCAAAAGGCAATTTGAAAAGGTTTCAACTTTCGGCACAGAACATCGCAAAAACAATGGATGGTGGGAGTGCATCAGAGGACTTTGATGCCGCTGTCAGTCTACTTAGTCTGGTTTAGGTGCAAAAGCTTTTGGCCCCGAATCCTTGTTTGCGTGCAACGTCGTGTCGGGACAAAAGATGTCCTGCAACTCCTGCAAGAAAGCGGGTCAAGGGTCGTGGGATGATCAAATCAGCGTGTTTATGACGTCGCAACAAGGGGCAGAATGGATGGAAGCTTTTCCTTACTCCAATTTAGCCAGATTTGCTGTTACTCCTTGCTAATACCTATTAACGGACATTTTAGCAACGCAGGTCGGGAATTAAAAGTGTAATTATTTGAAGTCTTAAACTCCCACACGGATATCCCATTACCATAATAACAATTTTTAATTGTGAAAATTGTGTATTGTTTTCTTTATGTAAGCAAATCATCTTATCCTTTGGCAAACATTTTTAAATAACCATATTGATATAATAAAGGTTATAATAAAGATTTATAGGAGTATTTCTTGTCCTTGTAATTTACAAAGCAGTATTTCATTTTAAAAGAGCAATTTACACAAAGTAGAGTTATTGACATACTAACATTATGGATAAGCCATTCGGAAATAAATATTAAACATTTATGTAACACAGAAAGAAGTAAGTTCCGATTGAGGATTAGAAATCACTACTCACCTCGCAGTATCTTCTTATCGTGATGTCCGTGGCAGCGGTATCCTTGGCAGCTGCGCTTCTGCTGCAAAGTGGGGCAGTGCTTGCCTCCGTTTTGGGCCGCCTGCAGGATCTGCCGGGTTCGGGTCATCATCCCAGTGCCGCAGCTCTTGTCGCACTCACTCCAGGCCCCAAAGTCGCCCACCTGGCAGTCCAGCACTGAAATCGGAAAGGTAAAGGTGGTTGTGGTAAGTTCAGAGGTTCTTAAGATGTTCGAAAGCTAAGCCCAATTAATTTAAAATTTTAATTTTATTAAGAACATATTGTCGCTCATTTTATATTGATAGAATAAGATTAAATATTAAATATTAAATATTTGTTAAATAAGTGAAGCAACTTGTAAGCAAACATTTAAGTAAATAAAATTAATTTATTAGATTAAAAAGAAAAGCTATTGTTTCCCTAATTATATAAATATCAAAACCGCCTTATTTTTTTTATCGAAAATACTAATAAGTATGTACTTTGAAGTAATGGAATATTTCTCAATAAATCGAGAAGACGCAATGTTTTGCCAATGCTTTGGTATTTCACCCCCAGGGCGCAATGTAAACGAGGCCTGAGCCTACAAAAGACAAGGAATCTGGCAAATTGCAATTGACATGCCGCCGCCGAACGTTTTAATTAAAAACGCAGCAGCAGGGAAAATTAATTAAAGTCCGTGCGTCTTGATTGCGCTTCTCGCTGCCCAAAGCTTTGGCTTTGTGCCTCCTGCATTTGCCCCCGGCTGGCTGTTGTTAGTGTTAATCAAGCCCCCAGGTCCCACATCCACATCCCTGCCCCAATCCCAATCCCAATCCCATTCCCTGTCCCCTCATCCCTTAACCCTGACCCACTGAATCGCCAGCGAGGCGCTAATGAAGCCACAAAAAGCTTTCCACAAGCGAATTGAAATTTGCCCCGGCTGCTTGCTCAGCTGTTGCATTGGGCGAAAAAATCGTTATGGCTAATAATTCATACCGGAATGCGGACAATGTTCCATTTCGAATACTCTATTGCTCACATTGCACCGGAAATGATGAAGCCTGAAATTTCATAGGCAAATTCCAACAGCTCATAACTCCACAATCGCATTGCTACGATGTGTTCATAATAAATGTACGTATGCTGTGGAAACGTTTACATTCCAAATTCTGAAATATGCTAAGAAAACAGTGAAATCAATCAGTAGAAAACAAAACGAATGCTTTGGGGAATTTTGTAATTGATTTGTTCTACTTGTATTTGTATTTGAATTTGAATTTATCTTACGAGGAATGTAATTAAGCTAGCAAGTGATAATAGTTTAAACAAATTTGTATTAACATATTTGAAAAGAGAGCCCACTCAAAAAAAGGACCTTTCTTGAGAAATTTTTCATTTAATAAGCTTTTTTTTTACAAAATAAAAACAAAAGTTTTTTATTTCAACTTTTTCACCCGAAATTTAGATAAAAAGTCAGACCCTTATTGCTCAAGGTTTCTGTTAAAAAAATATATTTTGCTAGAAAGTCTCTAATTATTATTTATTAAGGTCAAAACTAAGTTTATGTTCCTAGACATTAGTATTCATTCATTCTTTTGTGCAAGACGTCCCCCGATGCCAAGTTATCCTTCGTGCCAACTGATTTGTGCGATCGCCAGCTCAGCGGCATATCCGGGGGGTAGTTTCGCGCAGTGGACAAAGGCAATTTATATTTTCATTTTCACATCCTTTGCCTTTGGCGCCCCACGCCATTGGCTTTTTATGTTGGCCGCGCGAAATTAGGAAAAAGAAGGACGAGATAAGGACGAAGGCGCCATTCGCGCGAACATAGCGCCAGGATAATAGAACTGAGTGCAGAAAGCTGCCGTTCCTACTGGGGGCGGAATAAAACTAAAGTAGTTAAAATTATGATTGCATTGGCTCCGCGAAGGCTTCCCCACTTTCCCGCTCCCCCCCCTATTTTCCCTCATCCCCGATGTCCTGGCGCTTAGCATATTGTACGGGGCCCATCACTGCGAATGCGGACGAAGTTTCGCCGAGGAAAAAGGAGTTCGAGCCATTCGGCCAGTGCAGCCAGCTCGGCTTTTATTTCGATAGCTTACTTTTTGAGAAACCCGTTTTCGTTAATTCCCATCCCGTTTTCAAAAATATATAAGTAAACATAAGTAAAAGAAATTATTTTTCTTGAAAACGGTCAGATTTGCAATGGGTATGTGGGTAGAATAAGACAAACTGGCGTTCCATTGATTTGCAAAATTGGAATTATGAACCTATACAGTAGAATGGTGACTACAATTATTACAACTAATGAAATTAGTACAAGTACAAGTGAATGATAGGATGTGGCAAATGGCTATATTCTGATCGATATTATAAGTGTCTTACAAGATCTCTAAGCCGGTTGAAAGGTCAAATATACTAACCAAATATCAAATATACTAAGATAATGTATTTTAAGGATATCGTGGTTGAACCGAAAATCAGTTCATCGATGGCAGCACTGACTCGCTTGTTGTGGCAATAAATGGCATTATGCTGCTTAGCAATCATGCCACTTGATTGTTGTGGTGCAGCGACAAGGAGCTGAAAATTAGATGGCCAGCAGGGGCAGGGGCGGGGGCAGGAACAGGGGCAGGAACAGGGGCAGCCGTTGCAGAAGGTCCATTGCTTTCAGCCGTGGGATGCTGCTGCACTTACAGCCGGTTCAGCGCTTTATACCTTCGTCCTTGGTCCTTCGTCCTGCGTTTTGCGTCCTTTGTCCTGCCACTTTCCACTTGCCACTTGCCACTTGCCACTTTGCTGCCCGGCGAATTTGCCTGCCGCGCTGACCGGGCTGAAAATGGTAATGAATATGGCCATGACAGTGGGAGTGGAAATGGAAATGCGACTGGGAACGATGATGGCAGCCGCTGCTCTTAATGGTTGTCGCCCTTTTCTGCGACGACCGTTAATAGACACACACTTTGATTTCATTCACCGCCAGCGGTCAATTTGGCCAACACTCCCAAGCGGAAGTCAGGGATTTGCCGGCGAGAAATAAACTTTGGGCAGCTAACAAAAACTGTTTGCCTTGGTGGCTAACTTTAAAATGCATAGGCTAGCAACGAATTCTCTGGCGAAGAAATGTCAGAATGTTTGCAAAAAAATTATTATTATTGGAGCTATTTTATTGCTTAAGTTTCATTGTAGAGAGTAACGATACAAATTAATTAGGTTGCACGCTTACTTTTATATTGTTAAATTGGAAAAAATTTAATATAGATTGTTTCAACTTTGAATCTTAATTTTAGTTGATTAATAAAGTCGGTGGATTTGGTAAAAAATTTCAGAAAAGGCCAGATAATTAATTGAGTGGGAATTCATTTTAGTTCCGTTGATATATTATATGTCTTATATCATTATTAAAACCATAATTAAATTCCTTAAAGAAACAAATATATACAACTTAATCTAAAACCCAAAATAAACATCTATATAATAAGTAATCCTAACCCTAAATGTAACTCTCTTTAAACAACTATAGTCGAAGGCCTTGTAACTAGTACTATGTCCCTCTATGTTAGCCTTTTTTTTGTAAACTATTCTATGATTTATAATAAAAAAAATAAAGTCTTATATGGGTATAAACGAACACGTGTCTTACTGCCCCAAACCCATTATTTTCAAGTAGAAACATAGTATAAAGATTGGACCATAACAAGGTTATGTGACCAAAACAATTTTGCAGTTTAATCTGCGAACTTGTGGAAAACATCACGACGTAGCTTTTCCTGCTAAAGCGAATTGTCGAATTTAAGCGGCGGCGGTAGAGTGAAAATTCTGCGGCAAAGTCACAAATAATCGGGACCAAATCGCAGCAGCTGCACTGCACTTGAGCACTTGTCACTGTGATGTCGCCGATGCCATTACTGCTGACTCCTGACTGCCGACTGCCGACTGCCGATGTTGCTGCACTTCCTCGGGGCTCATATGTGCAACATAACTCACTGTCGCAGATGTGGGCGGGGAGTGGGCGTGGCGGGAGGACTCGAACTGACCAGCAGCTCCGGAGGGGCCAAACGCTACAAACAAACGCAGCAGCGGCAACTGGAAAATGTTTGGGCCACGATGTGGGCCAACAAGCTGGCCAAAACAGCACAACATCGGGCCATGGTTATTTGTGGTCAGCGAAGTAAAACAAATGGCGTCAAATGCTGCTGCCGTTGTTTCCAATGCACTTGAAGAATTTCCTAATCCAGTCGAAATGGCTGAAAAAAGCCACATTAAATCAAAAGGCACAATACAAATTTACAAGAATTATCAAAGCTCAAACAGTTGAAAACATCACTTGTTTTTCTACTTTTTATGGATAGCAATTATGAATTATTAAGGTAATAAATTATAAAGAATGATTGCCTTCTTTATATTTTATATGATATAACTATTAGTTTTTAAATGATTGTTATGACTGTTATACTAATAACTATGTAAAGTCTAGCGATACAAGTATGTTTTAATAAAACAAGTTTGAAGAAGATGCCCTATAAAATGTTTGATTCAAAGAATAAGCACTTCACAACGTAATTTACTTCTTAAATTGACTTGAATCGTGCAGCGAGTAACCACAAGTTGACGAATCTTATCAAGCTTATTTGGTTGAATTCATTTAAATTAACTTTTTGCCAAAAGCGTTTTCAAGTGTGATGTTACTGGGTCTTTTTGTTCCGGGTTTTGTTCGGCACTGCCATTGTGCTCGGTTGTGTGTGTGTCTGAGTGTGTGCGAGTGTGCCTGAGTGTGCCAGAGTCGAGCCAAGTCAAACAATTGCTTTTGACAAACTCAAGAGCCGCAGATAAGCAAAGAATGGACACTGAAATGCGGCAACAGCTGGAACTTCGCTTTCAGCCAGACTCTAATTACGTAACAAAGCAGTTACCCCATTTCACACTTCAGGCCCCCCTTGTGCCCCCCCTAATCGCCTTCCGCTGCATTATCGTTATTGCCCAGAATTCTGCATAAGTCGGGCCAATTCGCAGTACATCGTCCGACGGCTAATCCCGGAGAACAAAGCAGCCGGCAGCCGGCAATGCCATTACTGGGCAAAGTTTCTGGCCGAAAGACAGGCAGTTTGCAGGGGCAGGCGAAAGTTTGCCACTAGCATATTCCAATAACCGATATTACCTTCAAAGGGGCGGGGGGACCAGGGGAAACGGGGCTG